TTTTAATAAATAAGTATTATTTAAATGAAATTCTTTTTGAATTATTTTTATTATAATAACAAATGTTTTTTTTTGTTGTTTGTTAGTTAGATATATCTATGAAAATGATTTTTATTCTTGTATGTTTAATTTTGTAATAATAATTTGATTTATTTTATTGTCATTTTATAAATATGTAATTTTCATTTTTTAAGACATTTTATATAAATACAAAGAAGTATCAAATGCATTTTATGGAAAACAACATTCAGAATGTTTCACACTAAAACGAGTCATAGCAATTGAAATGAAAACATTCAACATGGAATAATTGAAAATGAAGTAAAAACAAAAATGAAAAATAAATCAATGAAGAATATGAACAATTCATTCATCTATCAATGAATGAAATGATGATTATCAAATAAAAATAAATCATTATTGAATATTTTATTAATAAATATATTATATATATTCGTTAGTTAATGAATGTTAAGTGAAAAGATACAGTTATAATAAAAAATAATAATATAACTAATAATAATCGTTTGAATAACAAATATATAAAATATGATGAAGAAATTAGTTAATTAATATGAAATAGGATAAAAAGTATTATTTTATCATAAATTATTCATAGTATTTGAATAAAAAATAATATAAAAATAGTTGGGATAAATAAAAATATCTTTTAAAAACTTCTAAAATTTAAAAATAAATCATTCAAAATAAAATTAATTTTAGTTAAGTTTTCAATAATTTAGATTTAAAAAGAGAGAATCTTAAAAAACAATAAGAAAAACTGTGAGGTATTATAATAAGCAGCTAATAATGAATAGAGTTGCAAATAAAGTCAATTTTAATTTTCAAGTTTATTTGCTTGTTTATCTCTTAATTGATTTTGAAGTTGTTCTACCAAGTCTAGTCGTTTTTGAACGAAAATAACATAGCTTTTCCTTTTTTTTCTACGAGTCTTTTCTAGTCCAACGTATTGATCTATATTAAGTATTAACTTCATATAATATTCGTACAACTCTATACCTCTCCTTTCAAGTGTTGTATTGATGATTTCTTCTTTTTGTTTTTGTTCGTTGATTAATGTTTGAAATTCATTAAATTTAATTTCTAATTTGTTAATTTCTATTTCAATCAAATTTACTTCTTTATCAAATTTTTCGTTAACGTCAATTTCTGTTATATTTTCTTCAATGAAAACAGTTTTATTTACATTCGTCTTTTGTTTGCTTGAACTACCACCCATCTTCAATTATAATCATTTTTAGGGTTGTAAATCATTATCAATTGAAATCACTTTTTGTTGTTAAAAAATGTTTTTCTAAATAACATTAAAAATAAAATTTCTAGAAATGGAAATATAAAAAAAAATTGAAAATAACTTGAAAAATAAATGAAAATTAATTTTTTTAGTGAAATAATTTAAATTTTCATTGAATTTTTAGTTATGAAGTTTAGTATTTTATTCACACCAAATTTATAATGAACTAAAATTTATTCATTTAAAACAGTTAATTTGAAATTATCAATTATTAATTAAAATGAATTATTCATAAAATGTTATTATCATTTTAAAATTATTTGTTACAAGATCATCCTTACAACACAAGACAATTTAAAGATAGTTCAATGTAACTTACTTAATCTTAATTAGCTTCTTACAAGAATTTGTGTATAATAAAAATTGATGTTAAAAAATGAACCAAAGTTCTAATAAAAAAATTCTAAAAATTTAATGACAAAATGTTTATTAACAATTAAAGATAGTGAAATCGTAATGTAAATTAACAAAGAAAAGAATCATTACCAGAAAAATATTTTAAAATATAAAACAAAATTCAGTTAACGTTGAAAATTGATGTTTTCTAAATATTAAAAGAATAAAATTCTTTAAAGTTCTTTAATAAAGAACAAAAGAAAAACTTCAAAGAGAAACAATAAAAAACAAAATTACTTTTTAAATTAAATTTTTAAGAAAGAGATAAATTAATGAAAGTAAGAGTTACTTCTACACATTTATTTTCGATTCTTCTAGATTCTTTTCTACAGAAAAGTAAATAAAAAGATTGAATTATCTTAATAATCAGATTTTTATGTCACTTCTATTGTTTACTAGTTCTAATTCTGATGACTATTTTACTTTTAATTATATGAAAGTCCTTACTAATTTCGTTTCAGTTGGGAATATTATTGTTTCTCTTTGTTTTATTCTTGCATTGAGAGGATTATCAACACAAATAAGTGCAAAAATGGGAAATATCTATGGAATTATTGGAATGTGCGTTGCTTTTATTACTGCAATAATTTCAAAGTGTTATGACTTTCTTAATGCACCTACTTCATCTGATGCACTTGATAGAAATGAAATTCTTTATTTACTTATTGGGTATTTATCTTGCTTAATTCCAGCAGCATGTATTGGTATTTTT